GTACGATGTCCACGTTGCATGTTTAGCTATCACTACTTAGGTGTATCGCTTCGACGCCAGCTTCAACTAACACCTCTGTCAGGTCTTCGTGGTCGCTGCAGTTGATGGCCATGTCTTCCACAAGTCTCGACAGCTCGTCGACCTTCCGGAGCTCGTTCAGCTCGACGGCACAGATCGCGTCCATGGCTGCCGTATCACACGTGTGAAGTTTCGCAACGGCGACAGCATGCAGGTCAGCTGAAGAGTGTTGGTCCTATATAATGCATGTTTTATATGAATCTATGTAAGCAAATTTTAAAACTCGGAGAGTAAATCGTTTAGGGGGCAATTGCCTCTATAGAGGCATGCTTTTGAAGCCTGTTTCGCGCTCTTTTGTTTGGTCCAATCAGCGTTGCGAAATTTGCTTTTTGGGGATAGATGTGAGATTTTGATTTTGTCTTTGTAATAATATTGTTTGGCATGTCTTCCGTCCCCAAACTCGGGCAAGTAAAGTGGATCGGAGGGAGTAATGAATTGGCGAAGTCATTCATGCTGTCGGGCACTGTTAATGCATGGCGGCCGAAGAAAACCGATTCGTTGACTTTTCGTGCGTTCGTCCAACTTGATTGGCTATAATTCGGATTATTTATTTCCGTCAATTGCGATTCTGTAGTATTGGATCTACCCTTGGTCAAAAGAAATGACATTATGTCGGCCTGGGTTTTGAAGTATACTACTCTGGTCCATAATAATCGCTACAGTGTTTTGACTTGGTTAAAGTATACTCGTTCGACTCAAAGTATATTGAAGAGTGTATGGAGTTGTCATATCGCATATTGGGTCAGCAAAATATAATCACTGTATTAATTAAAACAGAAACTACTCAATCATGGGAATTCAAATGAGTTTTGGTGGCGACGATGGCAGTGGAACAGCATTAGACTTGAAAGGACGTGACTTCGTCAACGGTATTGCCCTTCTTCATATGCGGCATCTTGAAGTTATTTCCCCCGCTATCAAGCAGGGCACATTCCATCACCTTCGGCAAGGTGATAAAAGTCTTAGCCAGAGTATTGACTGGCAACTCAACTAACGATTGTTCTACAGCATCAATGAGATCGTCGATCGTACGAGTTCTCTTTTGATACTGTAGACTTTGAATACCGTTGAAACATCCTAAGTCTAGAACGTTAAAGTCGGGGCTGTTTGGTGGTTGGTTCGCAATGCCAATTGATTGCACCCCATTCGCCACCAACATCTCGGTCGACACAACTCTGTGCGGGCTTGCGTTGTCTTGTTGGATGAGAACATCACGTTGCAAACAGGCACGAGGAAACTTGGCCGCGATTGCGGGGACGACATTGTTGAGAACGCTAGCCGTATACACCTTGGCGTCGACGTTCAGTGGGGTCGTCACCAACGTGCCCTTCGGACGGTTCTTGCTGTTCCTTGCGGCGGGAATACGTTGGACAAAGGGCCAAATACCAAGCTTGCCGTCGAACATGCGCATGAGGTGGTGATCGTAGCGCGGGCGCGCAACGGCGTCCAGGAACATCACTTTTGTGATGACGCGTTTCGACTTGGCTGCCCGATGAGCAAGCTCTTCATCTTCATAAACGTAGAAGGTTCTCTTTTCCTTGGTCAAAAAGAACCACTTTTCGTCGATATGTACTCTGCTGTACATATTATCAAAAAAGTGGGTTCTATTTGACCCGGGTCGGAGAAATCCCAGCGCGAAATTGATGCGTTCGACCTTGTTGCCGTCTGTCAACGCAGGATTGACGTACAGGGAACGACGCTGAATAAGTCCGCGCCAAAAAATCGGAAATACTTTTTGAACTATCCAATCACAGATGACTATGAATAATAAAAGATTCTGATTGGTCTAAATTATTCCCGGCCATTTTGAAACCCATCGGCCCTCCACGATTTGATAACCTGGTCAACCGAGTCGACTACTCATGGGC